GCTCTCTATGGGGGGTGGGGGGGATTACTGAGCCCTCTCACCAGACAATTCTTTGGGGAGGCAAAGTGGTTTAAGATCAATGCAACTCCATAGTATCGATAAGCTCTCAGTCTTCCTGACAATCAGATCAAGTGGCTCCTCTCATTTTGTGCTTTAAATCCAGAAGCCTGCATTGCCTATCTCCGGCTGATCTCAGATTTTGGTATTTATTTCCCTCTCCCTTTGCCAACAATCACACTATTGAGACAGGATGTCTGAGGCTAAAATCCCAAGAACGCTTGCCTGGGAGCATATCCCACTGAATAAAATGGTCCTTACTTCTGAGTAGATTTGCTTAGGATTGATAATTATAACTGTGTCGCACTTTGCCACATGGATACTGGCCCACTCTGGAGCAAAGGACAGGAGGAAAGACCTTCAGAAGTTGAAAAAGTGCTTTATTAGTAATCATTGAGACTATTCCATTTCTAATTACTTTTACTTGGAAGCAGGTTATGTTGGTCCAAACGGGACATGCCTCTGGGTGGGTCTACTTAGGCATGCAGTCAGAATTTCCCAGGTTTCTGGTTAAATTCCTACAGTGACATCTCTCCCCCCCCCCATTCATACTCCGCAAAGCTTAAATCTTACATGTGATTCAAAATTACCATCTTCCATCAGACATCATCTGCTATGTTACAACATCACTTATTCTTATAAAAATTTTAAAAAAACAATTGAAAAGAATTATACACACCTTAGTTTCCATCACTTGATATACAAAATGTTGTCTTATCAACCTAAAAACAATTCAACGGTACAAAAATGGCATTTTATCATCTGTACATATTGTGCTTTCATAGGCAAATACATTTATAAAGATGCCCATAGAGACAAGCAGCAGGGTTCCCTGCATAATCTCTATTTATTTCGACATGATTTGCACAGGAGTGGGGTCTGGTGAATTGTAAAAATAACACTAGCAAACAGTTTATGTGACCTACACTAAATCTTCTCTATGCAACACTAAGTACCACTTCACAGAACGTCTTTAATCTTAATATCAGTTCCACAGGTTCTTTAAGTGCCAGGGCACCCAAAGTCAGCTCCAGCGGCCCTGAATAAGGTTCCACATTTCCTAGAGCAGGGGTGTCGAACTCATTTGTTATGAGGGCCGGATCTGACATAAATGAGACCTTGCTGGGCCGGCCCATGTGTGTCATAAAATGTAATGCCAGGTAGCGGAGATATAAACTTTATAAAGGACACAAACACAAAGGTTTTTTTAACTTAAAATACAAACATGCTTAAAACGTTAGCACTCTTGCAATATTTTGTTTATTTAACAGTGTCTGATAACTGACACCTCTGAATTATTGCATCATAAAATGTCTGTGCTGTTGCAATCGTGAGTATGCTGTTCAGGTGTGTATCTGTAAGCTGCAAACCTATGATGATGCAGTAGCAGCAGAACTGGAAGAAGAAGCAGAAGTCAGCCAGTTCCACTGTGGGCCTGATAGAAGCCCTCCGGGGGCCTGATGTGGCCCCCAGGCCGCATGTTTGACACCCGTCAGAGAGACCATGACAGGACCAGAATGAGCATTGTGATACACAATGGAGATCTGCCTCTGGACCCAGATATTCCATGTTAGATCCCCTCTCATCTGACTTGACATCATTCCCGTTAGATTGAATGGAGCAGGATAAAAATTAGATCCTGATTTCTCAGGTGGTGTTAACAAGGATGCCCTGACCTGGCTGATCTTGTCAGATCTCGGAAGCTAAGCAAGGTTGGCCCTGGCTGTTATTTGAATGGGAGGCCTCCAAGGAATACCAGGGTCATGATGTGGAGGCAGGCAATGGCAAACCACCTCTGGACTTCTCTTGCTTTGAACACCTTACAGGGTCACAGTAAGTCATCTGTGACTTGACAACGCGCACACACAAAATAACAAGGATGCACAAAGCATTTGTTTCATTTCAACATGGCTTGCTTGTGTGGACGATGCGTCAATAAACAGTCCCCCCAAAAAAAATCTGGGTTGCAATCTTTTTGCAAAAAAAATGGCATGGCCCTTGACCTTTCTTGGGACTGTTTTCATCCAAACGTGCACCCACACATTCTGCACTGCATTCTGTGGGCAGTCGCGTGAGCGTCATGTTCCTGCCGTAACGAAACCACACAACTTAGTGGAAGACGATTTAACCATTACGTTGTTACTCCACCTTACAACATGGAAGGAAGCCCCAAAGCAGCAGATCCCAATTTGTATCTTGAAACGATGGAGATGAACAATCTCTGCAGCTGTTTTTAAAGGAGCTTTTCTCCCTTTGTTATGCGGGTCCCACAGAATGAAAGACAGAAGGGGCCAGATCCACCATTCCCTGCTCCAGGGTACTTCCCATTGGCATGGAGGTTTGATTACGAAAACCTCACCTCAGCCATGCCTCTACGTATAACACTGTCACGTCTTCACAGCTGGTATAGCCCTCACAAGCCAACTGGCACCGACTTGTTTTGTGTCCACAAAGTAGAATTTTCATTGCTGTAATGGAGAATCTAATAGATGGCTCTGGCTAGCTCAGTCTTGGAAGCGAAGCCGGGTTGGCCCCAGCTAGTATTTGGGTGGGAGGCCACCAAGGAAGTCCACGGTTGCTATGCAGAGGCAGGCAAACAACAAACCCCCTCTGTTCCATTTCTTGCCATGAAAACTTTATAGACGTCGCCGTTAAGTCAGCTGCAACTTGACAGCTCTTTCCATATCCACCACCAATGGAGAATCCCATGTAGAACGTTTGAGAATTAAATTATTCTCCCCAAACCCCCCCCCAGTACAAAATGTCCATAGAATTCAAAACAGATAAAGTATACGATGCAGATACAGCTAGGTAAAGAGTCCGTTTTCACCGGGGCACCCTTGACAACATCTAAATAAGGAAATGCGTGCATGGATAAATGGATGGGCCTTGTGGTGAGAGTCCAGGATCTCCCTGGAGACAAGACTGGGGACAGTTTAATGCTGAACATTTTGCCCAGGTGCCCCTGAAATGGCAAAAGGCTTGTTTAATGGGCTCTTGTTATGCCCATCTGATTGATGGTCCAAGGCAGCATTTGATTTTAAGTAAGGGCTTTGACCTACGCCAATCCACAGTTGATTTTTAAAAAGAGTTTAATAATCAGAACCTAAGAAAATGTTAATAAATTGGGTTTTTTTTATTCATGAGTTTAAAAACAAGAAAGTCTCTTTGGTCCTAATACCCATCCATATATAAAAAGATAATTACGGTGTATCTTAAAAATATGTATGTAAACGTTTTTCTAAAAAGGTTCCTTAAAGTCAAATGCTAAGGCGAAAGGAGAAGAAACAGAAGGTTATTGAGAACAAACAAGAAATGTGGGGTTTCAACTGAAAAATAATCACAGTTAATGGTGATTTAGGATAATTATATAATCTCATTGTATTTAAAATGTTACCTTTGGCAGTGGAATTCCATATAGTTCACAATATGTTGACCACCCGGAGGTGCAAACAGAAAAAAAGACAATTTCTTACTTTAACCCAGCTAGAATATTTTCTCACAGAGAAATATAAATCTCAGAAAAGCTAGAGCAATGTTCACAATGCCTGCATCGAAGAGGTAGGTACAGTTTATGTGTTATTGCCCACAACTTGTCTATCCCCTCCAAATCCAAAAGGCTTGCCAGGAAATGCAAAAAAAGTCTTAATCACGGGGCTGCCTTTTTAAAGACACCCCATTTCTACACAAGAGCTTCTGGAGCCGGAATGAATGTGGGACTCCTATGTGGACTGACCCATGTGGTGGTGATGCAGGAGGCTCTTCTGCAAACACACAACCACAACTACTTGCCCAACCGATGTGCTCTCACAGGTTGCATAAACTGGCACATAAACCGGGAAAATGGTGGCTACTTGCAAGACACAGCAGACGTGCTTATTATAGTGGGAAGAATTTAGCATAGTGAAGCTGCGCTGTGGACGGTCCAGCGTCTGCGTACAAGAACCTTCCTTCAAGAGAAGCTTCCCTCTGTTACGGAGCTTGAGTACATAAACCAACCTCTGTCTCAAGCCTCCCTGTTGCCACCAGGCAGGGATTTCGACTTGGGCTTTTCGAGGCCTCTTTACAAGCCTGCTTTCCCAAGGGTCTTCGTCGCCAGGGAGTTGTAAACACCCCAGAGGGGAGTACAACTTTATATGTATTCACCCCAATTGTGAAAAGAAGAGGCAGAAGTATTTACACAGATCCTTTCTGATGCTACTTCCGTAGCGTAGGAGGCACGCTTGTGTTTCTCCTTCACGTACAGCTGTAGCCAAAGTCCACAGGCATACAAGAGAGGGTGACCCTTTCGCTTTGGTGCCCCTCTAGCTTCTGAGAGGTAAGCGATGCTGGCATAGCAAATAGCTGAAGGATGCCAGAGGGAGCCAGGCTGCGGGAGTTAACAGCGCCAGGAGCTCTGAAACCAGAGAGCGCACACTGCAGAGATGCCCGGGTGATCTGCAGAGATGCCTGGCTCTTGGGACAGCAACCCAAGAGCCAGGCACCTAACAAAAATCACATCGTGCCTCAAGTAATTTTACGGACTGAATTCATCACCCAATAAAGCCAAGGTGCTAGAATTTATCTGAGAGTTTCACAAATGCGTAAAGGGTGACCACAGACGCCTTTCATATAAAAATACCCCATGAAGACTCACAGTGGCTTCACGTGGACGTTGGCATTCATGTGCAGATGTAGCCAACTTGAGATTTCAAGTAAACTTAATTGCAATGTGGTTGGGTATTAAAGTGGTTGGAGAGGGATGGAAAGGTATGAAAGTGAGAAAGCTAAGCCGGCTTACTACTACTTGTATTTCTGCCAGGTTTTGGAGAAACCGAGTTAACGACCTTTGCAGAAAAACAGGGTAGGGATCACCAGCAATGAGCAGGAGCATCATTACGGTAATGCTAATCTACCCCCCCCCCCCAATTACATCATGGCTGGCAACCTTGTGGCTCCTCTCAAAGTGCAAACCCGGGAACCATCCGAGATTTCGGACAACTTTTCCAGCCGTTCCTCCATTTCACCTAATCAAGTCAACAGAAAGGCCACTGTGGATCATACAAGTTATCCTGCGTTTCTTGACAGACCAGATGGCTTGAGGCAAACTTTAAATTTCATTCACTTATACTTCTCGGCCTTTAGAGTTAAGTTTTTCCTTCTGGTGTCATGAGGGGCTTTGGGGCCTGGTCCGTGCTTTCCAGAGCAGTTGGGCTCTCAGAGGAAATGCTTCCCAGCGGGGTTATGGGAAGAGATTTTAAAAATAATTTTGGTGGTTGATTTTCTGACCACATAGCAGCAGGTGGCATTAAATCCACATAGCTACCTAGCATGTTTATACAGGTCGCTGGATCAGCCTGGCATTCGTCCAGCATGGGTGCATCCTAAATTCTGCATTAAAATATAGGTAACTGATTCTCGATACCCACCTCTACCCATAGGAGTGGTGTGCGTTTATTAGTGATTTATCCATTATTTACTAGCATGGACAGTTCTAATCTCTGGGCTGGATTTTGGCATGACAACGTCCGAAATGCTTTTTCTCGGTGGTAACTTCTTTCTGCATCTTCCCCTTCCCTTTGCCTGGTGAATTTGGGACCAAAGTGTACAATCGAAAGGGGTGCGCTCCAGAACAAACCTCACGAAGATAAATGGGAGCTGTAAACGAGCATTTGTGTGTATAGAATTTGTGCAGGAGAATGTCTCAGTTTCTGCCCTTTGGGTGTGTGTGTGTGTGTGTGTCTGTGTGTGAGAGAGAGAGACAGAGAGACAGAGACAGAGAACAGCTATGCCTGCATAGCCACTGCAGACAAACTGCAGCCCTGGCATGTCCTGACTGTTTAAATTCATTTTTTAAAAATGTGCCAAATGGCAGCGGGTAGAGATATTTCTTTTTTAAAATATGGGTTTTTTGCTTATAGCTTTTTAAAGGTGCATTTTTGAAACTCATCTTTTGTGACTCTAGAGAAAAACAGTGGAACCAGAAAAAAAGAAGCAAAAAAAGAAAAGAAGAGAGTTTGTTTGCAATCTGGATCTACAGTGACCATTTTACAGACAAGTCTAGTGAGTACTTCAGAAGCTTTTCTGAGCCATGTCTGAAGTTTTCAGAGTTCGGCTTCCCAGGAATAGTGGTCTCGGTGGTGAACGCTCCAGGGCAAGCCCTTCTGTCCAACGTACCAGGAGAAGTCCAGGTCTGCTCCCAACAATTCAGTTTTTCAGAAACAGTCTGAACAGAACCCCCACGTGAAGAATTTCTTTCTCTTGTACCACAAAACATCAAGTGAAGCTGGTGTTTAAAGAGTCGGACAAATGCACAGGAACGAGTTCTCCTTTACCCTTATGAGCTGGGTGAGTGTTGCCCGAGAGACTTGAAAAAATACTGTCTCCCCCTTTTTTAAAAAAACCACACCCAAAAAACAAAACCACCACCACCCCACGTGTCATTTGAATGGCGTTCAACAGTTCATCATCCAGATGTCTTGATTTCATAAAAGCGCCCGAAAACCACCATTTCTTTAAAAAAAAATACACAGCATCAAGAGGGCAAAGTGGGTGCTGATCACAGTCTTTGCCATTCAAATAAAGGCTTGACCCTGTATAGCTTGCTACGAAAGACAGGAACCGGCACAGCGATTTCTTGCTCCCTGGAAGTTGTCTCCCATACAGACAGAGGTCAGAGAAGTCTTAAGCAAGCTGGGTGAAATAAGCACATGTTACCCGAAGGGAAAGTGTGCCCTACTGGTGTGGCTGTGACCGCTCCTTTATCTGTCCGTGGCTTGTTTCTGCGGCAACCAGTATGGTCACCAGTGTCCCCAGCTTGTCGGTGGGGCAAACAGAGGCCTCTCTCAGTGGTCACGCCGAGGCTTCGATGTATTCGCTTTTGGGTGGCGCCACCCTCAGATATTCTGGATTTTCAGCTGCAGGGACTTTAGCGAGGCCGTTTGTTTTGGTCTCCCTGGGCAAGAAGTCTTGCTGGTAATCCGGATTGTCCAGATTTATTTGGTCCCAGAAGGGGGAGCTGTTGAAAACCGTGTTACCCAAAGGAGATAAGCTTGTGTTGAGATACTCCAGGTTGTCCAGCGCTGTGCTGTGGGAACTCTGATGCTTTGACTCGGCCTCCACTTTTGGATCGGCAGGGAGGGAGAGGCTGTTGTAGACCGGATTCTGCACCATGGAAGCAGATGGCCTTTTGGTCTCTAGCTCGTTCAGGTATTCTGAAATGGTTTTAAGACAAGACGAGGAGGGGGCATGAATATTGTTGAAAACATGACCCAAAGATTTACAATTTTAAAATATTTATTAAAACAAATACACACACACACACACACACACACAAACAACACATCACCATCCCCTTCCCCTTTACAACCTGCCACCGTGGACATAGATATCCTTTGTCAGCATAAGGCAATTATCATATTAATTCAGTCTATTCTATTGCCACTTTCATCCTCTGTACAGCTCCTGACCATAATAGGCCTAACCCAACTGTCTCTCTGCTTTTCTGCCATGCTGCTAATTTCACAAAGGTACAGATCTCCTTTATTTTCAGCAACCAGTCTTGTAACTTAGGAGTTTTATACCTGGTCAAATGGAGAATTAATTTCAACGGCCTGGTGGAGGCGCAATATGGTTGATTGAGGAACCAGGGTTGAGTAACTGGGTAAGGAATTTGCCTGCAGGAATCGCCCTCCGGGCTTTCCTCAAGCCCCAAACAAGCTGCTGAATCAGGAACACCGTTAACCATGGTTCAGGTTAATTAGGGTTTGAATTTAATTCGGAATCTCAGAA